CTCGGGACAGCATGAGACCGAGGGACAGAATTAGCGGCTCTCTTCCACCTGTCCTGTGACCTCCGGGGCGGGGCGGGGGGGGGGGTACGGGCTTCGCCAACATCGCAGGCCCACGGTCCATGCAAACCTCCCCTCCACGTGTTTTGGAAGCTACTTCGAAAGTCCAACCTTTGCCCTCTCCCTCTCTCACCTAATTTCCTCGCGCACCTGGGACAGGCCCGTGGAGGCACCCAAGCAGGTGCGACGCCGCTGACTCCCCGGAACGCGGCTACGGAGCCGGGGAAACGGGCAGGGCCGGGCGAGCTGCCCCTACATTTCGCTCAGACGTGCTAACACGCCCGGGGACTTTCTCAGCACTGGCGCTGTACCCTCCAGGACCTTTTCTTGCTGGATACTGAAGCTATTTCTGGAAAAAAATAAATAAATAATTTTTATTTCCAAAGGAAGATGGCAGGTGACACAGAAATGTCCCTTCTTGTTTATTCTCTGTCCGTCCTCAGCGCGGCTCTCTCTGGTTTAACTCTTCTCCCCCCTTTCTTCACCCTGTTGGGCTTCTCCTGCCCCTTCCTGGAACCTTCTCCAGGGAGCCCAGCCTCACAGCTAGACTCGATTCCTGCCTTTGGAGGCAGAGCCGTCCTCCCTGCAGGTGGCACGAACAGGCCGGCGAACCTTCTGGTTCCCCTCCTCCCCGTATCTCCCAGGGCCCAGCGGAGTGGCTGACGCCGGTAAACACGGCAGCATAAATCACACAAATTGCTGCTCAGCCCCGCGGCCCCACTGGCACGTGTCCCCTCCCGCCCGCGGGCCATGCCTTCCCCTCCACAGGGCCGGTGCAACTGCTTCCCCCTTCTACTGGCTATGCCTTCTTTTTCTTGTTTTTTAAGCCATATCCTCTCTTTTTATTTAAAGATTTTATTTATTTATTCATTGGAAACAACACACACAGAGAGAGAGGCAGAGACACAGGCAGAGGGAGAAGCAGGGAGCCGGATGTGGGGCTCGATCCCAGGACCCCAGGGTCACGCCCTGGGCTGAGCCCCCCAGACCCCTGGCTATGCCTTCTGAGCCCCCTGCTGTCGAGGGCGACCGCCCCGCCCCAGCGCGGGCACTTAGCACACTGGCGATTCGGATTCACGTCCACACCCTCCCGCCGGCACACGCCCAGCGGGACGAGGCAAGGTCCCCGTTTCTGCTGCTCACCTGGATGGGCCACCGAGCTCAGCGATCGCACACCACAGCCACCAGGCGGACTCGCGTGGAACACACCAATGATCTCTTTCCATATTCACAACACCCCAAGAAGCGGTATTTCTACCTCTCTGCTTTACTAACCAGGACGCGGAGGCTTGGAGAAGATCAAGTCACTTGCCCCAAACCATTGGCACAAGCAAGATTTGAACCCAAGGCCACGAGACTCCCAAGCTCTGCTCTTCCCACCATTTAGCTACGCTCCCGGGCTTCGCTCGGTGCTGAGCTGTTGAAGAACAACTGTGTGAAATTTCCTGGCCCCTGCCGTGTGCCAGGGGTGGCGGGGTGGGCAGCGAGACTGCTAGGACCGTCCGCACCGCCGCCCACGTACTAACCAATCCCTCCTTGTCACTGAGTCAAAATAAGGCCTTTGATGCCTCATGTACTCCTTACAAATTCCTCATCAATATAAGGTTCCCAGCCAGGGCCGGGTCGAGGGTGGGGCAGGTGAGGCACTTGCAGGAACCCCAAAACCTCAGCAATCATGATAATATTCTAATGCAACGTGTTAAAAAAATAAATAAATAAATAAAACAGAAAAAAAAAACCTGAGCAACAAAATGTCAAAATTTTAAGTAAAGACAGGATGGATATTACCAAGTTTGCCCCCTGGGTCAGGGGTCTGTGTGTGCCCTTCGGTGTCGGACCACGAACCCAGAAGTCACAAGACCTCCTTTTCTTTAAAGACCAGGCCTTTGTTTATCCAAACAATAGACACGCAAGGTAATGTCGGATTGGGATGATGTCTGCGAAGGACAAAAAGGCGGTGATGAAGGACCACGTCACGGCAGGGCTGCAGGGGTCACCCTGCCGCCTCCCATTTGTGTGAACCCCCCCCCCCCCGGAGGAGTGGGCTGGACAGGGAGGGTCTCTCCAGAGAGCGACACATCGCTGAGACCCTGAAGGATGGACACGAGCCAGCTCAGAGATGAGGGAGCAGGGGCAGCCAGGGCTGGCAAGCACAAGCTGCCATCACAAAACAGCTGACCAGTGACTTAGGAGGCATTTATTTCTCACAGCCCTGGAGGCTAAGAAGTCCAAAGGCAAGGTGCTAGCTGCTTCGGTTCCCAGTGAGAGCCTTCTTCTGGCCTCAGAAGGCCATCCTGTGTTCTCACATGGCCAAGAGGAAAAGCAGCTGGTGCCTCTTCTTCTAAGGGCGCTACTTCCATCATGAGGACCCCACCCTCACGACCTCACCTAAACCTAATTACCTCCCAAAGGCCCCACCTCCAAATCCCAACACGTTGAGGGACTTAGAGTTCCAACAGGTGAATTTTCAGGGGACATAATCCAGTCCAGCTGGACGTGGTGACCCAGGGAGAGAACTGCAGGCGACACCAGCCGAGCCACCTTGCAGAGCTTTGAAGACCACAGCAAGGTGTTTGGGTTAAAGGGGTGGTGGAAAGGGAGGTGGCGAGGGGTGGGTGGGGGTGACTGGGTGACGGGCACTGAGGGGGGCACTTGATGGGATGAGGACTGGGTGTTATGCTATTTGTTGGCAAATTGAACTCCAATAAAAAATAAAATAAAATAATAAAATAAAATTTAAAAAAATTTTAAAATAAAAAAAAAATCTGTAAATAAGGGTAAGGGCCACCGGAGGGCCTTAGCTGGAAGGTGGCTGATCCACTGGCTGATGGCAGCGTTTGCTCCGGTCCTGAGGGCTGAGCTATTCGCGGGGAAGTGGGCAGATGTAGGAGGCACCGTGTCATCCAGGATCAGACCGGGAGGAGGCCGAGAAGATGGAGAGGAACACAGTGACTCACAGGCAGGACCGGTCACACCTGGGCATGGGTTTGATGTGAAGGAACAGGATGAGAGGATGATCCTTGGGTTTTGGCTTAACTAACAAGACAGAATTCCAGGGGTGATAGAAGACTGAGGAAGAGACAAAGGTGAGGGCCGGGGTTGGAGGGAAGGGAGCACTATCCCATTCCCTGCAGAGCACGGACTGTTGACCCAAAACCGGAGAAAACAAAAATACATTCCTACTGAGAATACCCAGACCCCGGCTGAAAACCATCACCCAAAATTTTAGCCTGCATCAATCCTCCCACTGTGTCTTACTCACGGCAATAAAGTTTATTCCCAATAATACTGCTGCAATTTTTTATTCATCATCCTTGTATTTCAGAATTACCACAGCAGTGAAATTTATATTCAACAGCATTATTACAATTTTCAGCTAGTAATGAAATTATTGTTTCTGTTTGTGATGTGTTTTGGAGCTACAGTGATAAAAATTTCCTCTCAAAAATACCACTGCAATGTTGATGTCCTCAAACCCTGCCATAAATGACAAATTATAGAATGCATGTGAGCGGTCAAACTCTCTTCTTGGGCAAGCTGGGCTTCTTGGGGTTTGCGTGTGTGTGTATCTGTGTGTGTTTTAAGATTTTAGTTATTTATTCATGGGCCAGACAGAGGGAGAAGCAGGTTCCTCACAGGGAGCCCAATGCAGGACTCGATCCCAGGACCCCGGATCACAACCTAAGCCGAAGGCAGATGCTCAACCACTGAGCCACCCAGGCGTCCCATGGGTTTCTTGTTTCTCTCATGGTGGGATCCAAGTCCTTTTGGAGAAAAGCACTGAAATCCTAGAAGTTGAAAGTCATAGTCCAGGGGCGCCTGGCTGGCTCAGTCAGTAGAGCATGTGACTCCTGATCTCGAGGTTGTGGGTTCAACCCCTGTGTTGGAGGTGGGGATGACTTAAAAACAAATACAATCTTTATTTTAAAAAAATAGCATTTGAAAGTCATAATCCAGGACAGCGGTCTCCAAACAGTTCTGATCCTTACCTCGTGAGTAAAACTAAAAATAAACTTGAGCACATACCCCCAGGATATTTTCTAATTTACAACACAATGTGATATGACTTCATTATAAATTACTTCTACCGCACTAATATATTACATGCATGATAACATATAAAGCCAAGAAGAACCCGAAGAGGATGTGACACAAAAGAAAAAGGACACGGAAATCCTAATATCTTCTTCCCTCCTCCCGCTGCCCTTGCACACCCCCTGGGTAGACGAGCTGTAGTTGGGCGAGAACAGGCGAAGACCGCTTGTCCTCCCCCACCTCTCATTCTCATCCATCCTTCTCATTCTCGGAGAGAACTGATTCCAGGATTCTAGGGTATCCAACTCCTAGGGCTGAACGAGGCACCCTGAGGGAAGGCTTAGGTACAGAGGACGTGGGAGGACCATTTTCATCTGTTTTAAACTTGGGGATTTTTTGTGTGAGAAGTTCAGTTGAGCACAGGGCTTTGTAGTTAATAAAATCGAGTTTGAAAATCACCACTCTCCGGAGCAGCTAGGACTCTTCACGCAAGCCAGTGAGTTGTCTGGATGCTGCCTTCCATTCTCTCTCTGCACTTGATGTAATTTTTTTTCCTATCATCTCTTTAACATCTCCCAGATTCAAGGCTACAAGTCATTAAAGCAGCCCCCGGTGATGATGTATAAATGTCCAACTGGTATTGGGCAGACTCTCATACCTGGGAACTATGTGGCTGCCACCCAGGTGCTACCACAACTGCTTTCACTTGAAGAAAAAAAAAAAGATTTTCAGAAGAAAATAGGAAAAAATTAAGACAGCATTAGAAAGCATCTCACCAGCAGGCATAGGCACTCTGTGGTCACAGTGGAAGATTCCAGTTATAACCATCCTGCTCTTTGTCTGCTAAAGATCCAAGATAGAGTCCAACAAAACGACCTATTTGTGCAAACAGCCCCATGAAGTTCTAGGCCTGGAATTGCCGTGAACGTACTGTCCCGTCATGGGCAAGTGACCCAACCCTCTGGGTCAAATCCCATACCTCCAAGGAGATGTTTCTACCTCGGAAGGATTTCTTCTAAAAACAGAAGCTGCCTCCGTCTCGCGCTCTTTCTCTTCTCCTCATCCACCCTGTTGTGGAGAATATTCCAAACCTTCTGATCCCTGTTCAAATGCTTTCCTCTCTATCAAGCCCAAAGAGAGATCTCTCTCCCTCCTAGGAGTTCCTCTAACGGTGATCATCCGTGCCATTCACTTGACCATTAATCCCGGAAGGCCTTGTTGTTGTTCAGCACAGTTATTGAAAGACTGCGGTGGTGCCTTCGCTTGCACGCGTTCCTCCAGTATCCCGAGGTAGACCAGAAGTATGTGCCGGACAGGTGCTTCCATCTTCCCACCAGGAACCATGTGGCCCTTGGCACGTAGTAGGTGCCCAGGAGAGACGTGCTGAAGCCACGTTCTTCCAAGTGCACTGTCATTTATTTAATTCCTTTGATTCCTGTGAAAGGGAAGAGCGTACCCGCCTGTGGGGCTGGGCTGAGAGTGAGTCTGGCCAAGCCCACAAGCTCCAGCTCCACTCACTAAGCCACCAGCTCCACTCACTCATCTCGAAGGTGGCGTTATTTAATTTTTAAAGTTTTTTGTTTTGTTGCCAACGCTGAAAAATCAGGAGATTTCACACACACACACACACACACACACACACACACCTGGAACACTCTCTTCTCTTGAACACTCGGAGCTCATCGCTCCTCATGCTCTCCTACCTGGCCACGATGGATGGGAGCTGAGGAGGCACCTGCCTCTGCCGAGCAGCATAGATTTCCCGGTTCACAACATACAAATTCCTGCTTATTAGAAACAGCACTGGTTGATTAGAGAGACACTCTGGGAACTAAGGAGGCTGTGACCAGCCGACAGGGTGACACCCCTCCCACCCCGTCCCCACCCGCGTCCCTCCCTGCCGGGTCCCTGTAGTCACCTGAGTGCCTGGCCCCTAGCAGGTGCTCAGGAAATGGTAGTTTCCAGACCCATTCCCCGGCCTTTCTGCTCCTTTCTGCTCCTCCTCCAGCTCTCGTTTACTTTGTCTCGTAACAACCTCATTGTTTCTGTGTCCTTTCAGTTCCCTTTCAGATTTGTATTCCCCTGCCCCTTTCTGCCTGTGGGATCCTGCTGGTAGGACATCTGAATTAGACCTTACCTCATTCTCGGAGTCACTGCTACCGCGGCCTGACTGCTGAAGAGCAAGTAAATGAGCAGTCTGGTCAGGAAGAGCCACACCACCCAGAACAAAATTAATTCCCAGGGCTCGCTGGACCTGGCGGAACCGGAGCCATCCTCGGTAACAGGCCCTGGAGGATGTGGGAGGTGGGACAGCTGCCCTGAATACGGACTCGGCTGTCTCAGCCCAAAGCTGGCCTTACATCTGTCATGCCCACAGCCCTGGCTATTTGCCAAAGGGAAGAAGAAAAGAAAGAAGGCAGGGAGGAGGGCGGGGAGGAGAGCGGAGGGAGAAACTCTTTGAGCTCTCAACAACACACTCATCATGGAGATCGGCCTGAGCTCAAGAGCATGGCGCTACCTGATTTTAGCCAAGCTACGGATGCAAAATTCCAGCTCGTCCTTAAAATTCAGTAGCACTAGAACGAGAACGAAATGCTTCACCGAGTTGTGACATTTAAGTGGTCATGCATTTTTCAACGTATCAGCCATGCAAAGATGTTTATATTCACTCTCTCCTCGGTCATGTTCCATTTAAATGGGGGTGGGCAAGAGTCTTCAAGTAGTTTAATTAAATAAACTGGAATCGTGGAAATCAAAGTTAACTGAAACAGACTTCGGAGGTTAAAAAAGAGCAGGAGCATAAATTACATCCATAATAAGGGAAAAATAAAGGCAGGAGAGTAAACTAAATAAATACCCTTGTTATCTCCACCTCTTGCTGTTTCACCTCCAAGTGTATTTTTATCTCGTATTATATTTCTAAAAATCCAGAGAGAAAAATGTCAGGAGATGACAACATGAAAAGGTTCACGGGATGCTGAGTTAATCTAAAACCTTTAGCAGCAAGGAAAAAATTCTTCATTTAAAGAGGCAGTTTCTCTTAAAAAAAAAAAAAAGTAGGGCTGCACGGATAGTTTTAATTCACAGTCCTACAAGCATGCAGAATGAAGTTCAAAAAAGTCTAACAGAAGCCCCAGATAAATTCAAGTCGGTGCATTTCGTCCCTACATTCATCCATAACAGCTTTAATATGTAAGATAATGACAGCGATGGTAATGACCTTAACTTGGGTAATCTGTTTGTTGACAGCAGGTGATAATTCGGCCTTCCTGATAGTAATCTGTTTTTTTGGCAAACAAGACAGAGGGCTATTTGCCACACACATTTATTTTTATGGGGAGGACATGTTTTATAAAGCTGGATATGGGACGGTACAGGTGTGGAATTAATTGTCCAAGTTGCAAAATATGTTAGAGATGGTATGCTAAATCTACGGCACACACTGGCCCTGACATGATGAAATGTTCACTTCTATTAAGTAACCACAAGCCTGTGTTTCCAATTACGGTGGCGAACTGCTTTCTGCTGAGTGGATTAGCTTAGTACTTCATTCTGCTGGTAGTTTTATGATCTGAGATCTTTAATTTTCCCAATTCAACTCTTAGGGCCGCAAAGACAAGCTGCCTGACTTTTAAATAATATATTCCCCTTTTAAATTTCTGCCTCCTACCATCTCCTAGGAGTGCTATTTCCTGTCACCGTAATTATAATAATTTGTATGTAGTTCCTGGGATCACATTTCTAATTGAGTCCTAAACTGGTTAACCTCATGAAGTTATTAATATGCTTTTTTAACCTGCACAAATTATATATTTGTCTGGTTGGTCAAATCATGTTCATTATCACATACATTCTCTACCGCTCTTGCTTCACTTTTAATGTCACTGTTTTAGTCCAAAGAATGGACGTTGTTTTCCAGAATATGCTAAAAATTACAGAACCGTAAGAGTCGGAAAAGGAGGCCTGGGTAAGGGGCAGGTAGGAGCAAATGCTCAGTGGGATTTGAGATCCCATCTGGATACCAAGAAATAGCTCTGGAGAACGGAAGTGGTAGGAAGTGAAACAGAAGCGCAGGCGACCCAGCCAGGTCATGAAGGGCTGCACCACAACAGGTGTGTAAGTAAACTGAGGCCACGCGACCCCCTAAAGGGTTTTCAAACAAGGATGACCATGGCCAGGCTTGTGTTGTAGAAACGTTGTTCATGGGTAGTTTGGTTAAGAATCTGCTGCACCCCAGGCCAGAAATGATGAACGTGTGAATTGGAATTGTACCCAAGAGGATGATGGGTCCATGGGGAGAGCTGTTTCTACCCCAAGGAGCCTACCATCTAGATTGGAAGGTGAAGCAAATGCAACAGGACAGACAACGGTGCAAGATCATTCATAATCAACTGCTAACTGTGTAGACATTAGGGAAGGTGAAATCGGGGTACATGAGAACGTCAGATTGCGCCCCCCCCCCGAGAAGATCAAATCTGGGAGGAAGTGCTGCAGGGGACAGGGGCATGGGTGAGTATTTGCTGAGCAACAGAGGAGGCCGCTAGTTTGCGAGAAAACAAGTCCACCAGCTTGGTGACCGTATGGAGCAGCGCTTCACTCTGGGTCCTCAGCTCAGCCAGGCTTCTACGGATAATACCCCCTGAAAACACTCGCGCCGCTGAAGACTAGCTCTCCGCAAATCACCCACAGACGTTAAGATCCATCCCAACCATCAAGGACCAAACCCTAGGCAGTCGGTGGCACTCGCCGCAGGTGTGAGATCTCAAGACGGATCGTCTCTCTGTCCTGAAGATTCATATAATCCCCTTTCTCTGACTGGTCTTTTATTTAAATGTTTCCTAAATCATGTTTCTGTAGGCCTGTGTTGATATAAAATCAATAGCCCCACAATTCCTTTTTGTCTACGACGACACAACCAGATTGTCAGCTCTGGATTAGTGTATTTTACAGGAGTCCTGTTCGAAACACCAGCCGTGGGTTTTAGTGTTATGAAATAGTAATAATTTGCATACATAGGATTCATTTCTTCCGAACCTCTCAGGAAATACGTTGGTATTTGTTAAGCTCTCGACTTGAAGCATTTGAGAAGCACATACACAGCTCTTCTGAAGTCCTCAGGTGCGAGGAGTTGTGGGAGTGCAGGGGCATGAAAACTATCTGAAAATCTCGCCTTCGTGCATTTCAAAGTTAATTAGGCAGGAAGACGCGGCCTACCTTTACCTTTATTTTCTGAGAATCCAGAGAACATGACCTGTTAAAAGATATTCATTCAATACCAACAAAATAATTCAATCCATATTGTTATGGTCTGAATGCGTCTCCCTCATAGTCACGTGTTGAGAGTCCACTCCCCCATGAGATGGTGTGAGGAGGGGTCTCTGGGAGGTGATCAGGTCACGGGGATGGAGCTGTCATCAATGGGATTAGTACCCTTAGAAAAGAGAGCTCTGGGGTCCCTGGGGGGCTTGGTCGGTTAAATGTCCAACTCTTGATTTCAGCTCAGGTCATGATCTCAGGGTCATAGGATCGAGCCCTGCAGGGGGCTCTGCGCCTTGGAGTCGGCCTGGGATTCTCTCTCCCTCTCCCTCTGCCCCTCCTCCCTCTCTCTCTCTCTCTCTCTCTCTCTCTCTCTAAAAAAAGAGACCCAAGAGAACGCTCTCGCTTGTTGTTGTTGTTGTTGTTGCTACATGTGAGGCCACAGCTAGAAGACGGCCGTCTGCGAACCAGGATGTGGACCCCCACCAGACACTCATCTGTCCACCCCTCGATCCTGGGCCTCCAGCCTCCGCAATTGTGAGAAATACACGCTCGTTGTGTGCATCAGCCAGTCTGTGGTGTTGTGTCACACTGGCATGTACGGGCTACGACAGTGGTGAACCGGCTCCTTCCAGCACCTCCTCTATCACCCATCTGCGCCTTGTTCTGGAACCAGAGCCAGGAGAAGGAAAGGGCCAGGTGAAGCCCTCCCCATCCTCACCAACACGTGGCGTCTTGCGTTCTCTGGTAACGGCCGTCCCGACAGGTACGAGGTGACGTCTGACTATGGTTTTCACTTGCATCCTCCCGACGCTTGGTGATGTTGTACGTCTTGTCATAAACCAGTTGGCCACTTGTATGTCTTCTCTGAAGAAATGTCTATTCAAATCTTCAGCCCATTTTTAAAAACTTGGTTACTGGCTTTTTGCAATGAAGTCATGGGAGTTCCTTATATTTTTCAACTCCTCCAAGGGAACGCAGAGACAGAGACGCTTTTAGCACAGTAACCGCACAGAAGGGTGCCTCGGAGAGGCCAGAATGAAAGGTGGAGTTCCCTCGGGGTCTCGCGGGGTGTGACGGGCTGTGGGTGTCTCCCCCCAAAACGCAGAGGCTGAAATCCGATCGCCTGTGGGAGGCCTTGGGAGGGGGGAGCACGAGGAGGTGACCAGGTCGTGAGGGAGCAGCCCCCAGGCTGGGATTCATAATCTTATAACCAAGGGAAGAGACGGGGGGGGGGTGTCTCTGTGTGTCAGGCATGTGACGATACGATGAGAAGCCAGCTGTCTCCAGCCCAGAACCTAACTACGTGGGCACCGTGACCTGGGACTTCCAGCCTCCAGAACTGTGAGAAATAAATGTGGCTTATGAGCCACTCGGCATGAGGTGTGTTGTTATCCAGCCCAAACTCACTACAACGGGCGGAAACGTTGAATTTACTACACAACCGTCTCACATGGTTGCCTAAGTTTACAAGTGAAAAATTCAACCACCGCATGGGGACCCCCTCCGGAGCAGGGCCCCTTGGGCCACTGGCAGCACCTCCTCTTTGCTCGCCGCTGCTCCTTCGAGACTGCTCCACAGGCCCCAGTGGTGCCTCCTCCCCATCTCCTCCCTCCTGTGCCAAGTGGGCCCCAAGGCCGTGGAGAAACCGAGGATGGCTCTTCTTGACCAAACAGCCACCCCAGACCCACCCGTCCATCATTGTTCTGCCCACACTGCCGAGTGGATGGAGGAGGGGCCAGGCTAACTGGCTCCAGGCACCACCACAGACCAGCACTATGCAGGGAACTTCGGGGCCTGAGCCAAGCCCTGCTGCCCTCTGGGAACCGGAGCAGAGAGAGGCAAAAGGGAGCATCATTGGGATGGGACACTGGAGCCAAGAGGTAATGATGCAGACTCTGGACTGGCAGCCATCTGGGTCGCCACAGACCCACCGAGGCAACAACCTTCTGAAGAC